CCTACGCAGGCTCCTTGTCTCCTGGATCCTCATTTTCCCTTTTTTATTTATCTCTTTTATTTATGTTCGAGGTTAGACTTGAACCAGGGTGGCTCTTATACTGTCTCAAGTCATAGACGCTACGATAAAATTTTGACGATGTTCTGATGGTTGAGGGAAGGAATTTTCATTCTCATAGCAGCTTTAAATTTGACCCAAGAGAACATGAAATGACTGAAAACAACTTTTTTTTTGGTTGAGAATAAGGATGGAGCTCCAGACTAGGAACTCCAGCCAGTACATTACCCCAAAAGAGCTGACTACATAAATTTGACCACAACCCCAGCTAGGCCAGCTCTAAGGTGTGATCAGCTGTACGGTATCCTTTACATCATCACAGTCATAAACTCCCAACAGCTAACATCAATTACAAAAAGATATAAATACATAACGTCATAGTCTTGACAAAAGGATGCTAGCAAATTCTGGAGCTTAATTCTACAATAATTAGGGAATCGACCCCACCACCTGCACCATCTTGCTGAAAGGAAGAATGAAACTTCAGCCACCATGTAAAGCTTCCCACCAGTTGTAGAAGCTTCAACACTCCTCTCTAAGCAATTTTACCCCACGCCCCTAGAAATAGGCAAAATAAGAAATGACTGAATACAATGTTTACTTATTTTGGAAAGGCAAGATTTTTCTTAAGAAAAGACTTGAGCCTGATATTTATTTATAGTTCATAATAACTAGTCTCTTGAACATGTTAAATGTAAATTGTATTCATGTAATAGCTCAGTCAGATGGGCTTCACGAACGACACATTCTCTGCATGGTCTATGCTGGATTACGAGTTGGCCTATGAATAGATATTATAGGACATAGACTGTGTTATCACAGAAATTTAAGAGATGAAGCTTGGGAAATTTTTTCTGAAAGACGCAACAATACATTTGGTGATTGAATAAATCCAAAGTATAAGAAACTAACTTATTTCATGATATAAATGTGTAAAGAAACTATTGGAACTTGTGTGGGCCAAGTATTCATCATTTTGTTAAAACTATTTGTTATCATGTACTCCCCTAGGATGCTCAAAACTAAGAGGGAGCAAGCCCCATTTTTCTGACTCCTAAGATTTTGTATAGATAAGAGGGACATCAAATGTTTAAGTAGATAGCTTCTTCATCTATGTCAATTTAGCTTTGTTGAAGACTTGAAGTTATTTAAAAAAATCCATGTTATTTGTTTACTTTTTGTATGCTAGTGCTTACATGAGAGCGAAGCCCAACTTTTCTTTTTTCTCAATGCCTTTGTTTATGTTAGCTTATCTCTTAAAGTTTTACGCCCATTCATCCTTTGATTTAACTTAATCATCTACAAAAAATTCCAGCCAAAATTCCAACATTTTGCATGTGTGATCCTGTGTCTGGCACTTTGATCATCCTTGAATAAATCTGAACTGAAATTCTATATTACGAATTTGCTGACCATTCCTTCTCTCTGTAAACTTATAAATAAACTTACAAACATTTAATAGGGCTATACGACTTGGTACTTGAAATTAAGGTTTTAAATGTCACCCGACATGTCCGACATGTCGGTCGACATATCGGTTTGAGGGCTTGACTGACACGACATGGACGTTTTCAACTCTTATGTCGGTTTTCGGGGCCAAATCAAAAATATCAGGGTCATATCAGGCATATCGACCTATTTTTCAGCTTTGAAAAATCGACCGATATGATACTTTTTTTAAGATCTGTTTTTTGTTATCGGGTTTGGATTTAGTGATAAATACTCAAACTCGTTTGACCTGTTCTCATGTTTAAGGGTTTCTTATGAACCCGATAGAAAGAATTTATGAACCTAAATCCATATATTATTCTTTTTTATATGTTTAGTCTATAGAATTTATAAGTATGCTTATATTGAATTTATGAATGCTTAGATTACATTTAGGACATGATATTATATATATGCGCACTACCCGATATGACAATCCGATATTTAGTCAATGTCCCCCGATATATCCCCGATTTCCGCTATCCGACATGGATTTCAGCCATCCGACATGAATCCGATATCCGACATTTAAAACCTTGCTTGAAACGTTTTACCTATTTCCCGAAACTAAATATTGAAGGTGCAAAGTCAGCTGAGTGGATCCAACCTTGAACTTTTGGCATGGATGGAGCTGCCTTAGACATGTTAATGCTCAGCAATATATACGTTTGGAACTGTAGTCTTCTTCTTTTACACTTGATAACCATTGTCTTTTGCCTGCCATCTTATTTCTGATTAGTATAGTTTGGCAGATGCATGCCAAGGGAGCTCGACACATTGCTGCAGTTTACAGGCTAAAAGAAAGGGGATTATCAAGACAGGACGAGTTAAACAAGAGAATAGCCCTGTCTTCTGGTTCTGTCACTGCCTCTAGCAGTCCTTCAATCGAAGTAAAGGGAGCTAAGGTGCAGAATCAGCCACTTATTGAGCAGACACGGAAGGCCATTCTTGAGATACAATCCAATAGGTCATGGGATCAAGTAGGAAAACCTGATTCATCCTTTAAAAATCTAAATAAACATGTGTCTCCGCGTAACTCGAAACTATCTGCCCCAAATCATGTGCTAGAGACACCCATATGTGCAAGTTTTCAAGAGCCTCAGGGAAGTAGAGAAATGAAGAGCGTAGTTGTTACTGAAACTGCCGGTAATATGCTTGCAGACTGGAATAATGAACAACATAAGCATCGAGAGAAAGAGCTCAAGTTTATTGCTGCTGGTTGGAAGCGTGATGGCTTTGGAAAGTGGTACAAGGATGAAAATGTGAGTATCATCTATTTGTCCTTGTAATGAATTTAGCGACATGATTTGCAGGTACATTTAAATAGTTTGTCATCTTGTCTATATATAGATTATTTGATCTATGATCATTATATTATAATTTTTTTATTTTCTCACCAGTTTATTGTTTTATTTTTGGCTATAGTAACTCCAGTAGAGAAAACAAACTGATGATAGTCCCAGGTATTTCCTAACTGTAGAACATAGCATAGTAAATTGGAATTGCCGAAGGAGCTAATTGTTAATTGTAATGAGCATGATTAGGTCGCAAACTGATAGAACATATCTCGATATCAGGTAATGAGTGCCTTGAATGAATACCAAGTACCCCATTTCTCTGCTCCAATAAAACCTGACTCACTTAGAGGACACGTTTTAACCTTTTGCTTCAGGTAGGGAACCAAAGTCAATATGTAATTAAACCAAACAGGACAGTAGTGCTATCTTTTCCTTTATCATCTTCCCAAATTCTGTCTTGGATGGGGCAACACAAAAAGGATTCTTGTGAAAAAACAATGCTTCCTTTCTCGATTGGGTCATTTTATGGAGTTGAGATGCTGCTGGAATTGCAAAATGCAAGATTTTACATGGCAGTAATCAGAGCTTTTGATGTTGTTAATGTTCATCATCAAGGAAAGGAACCTCAGGTTTCTAATATATTTGAGAGAGAATCAAAGTCAAAACTTGAAACTATGAGGACCCACAAAGGTGAATGAGTCTTAGGATGTGAAGGTGAACAAACAGCGAAAACATGTGATTTTGGTAAATTCTGATTGGTGAATTTTAAAATAAATTTCACAAAACTACCATGAACTTTGAGGTGTTTCATGCAAAATTACAGTAAACTATTTTTATTATGGAAAATACCATATAATTTTAAATTTGTAGAAAAATATCATGAACTATTGGAAATTGATCCTAAATGTGTTAACCTCTGAGGTAAAAAGAGTCTAAATTTCCCATATTTATGAATCTCAACCCACAACTAAAACTAACACTCTCTTCAGAGGGACGAAATTGTCCATATATTTCACGTGCTTTGCACATGACAATTTACGCTAAAGACAATCATGAGAATTTACTGAAAAAGGTCTATGATATTTTCTCTAATAAAACTAATTTATGGTATTTTTGCGCAAAACCCCCAAAGGTCATGGTAGTTTTGTGAAACTTACCTTAAATATGTAAAATCATGGATCTCAAATTTCTTATTGTGGGCTTGGAGGTGAGTTTACAGTATTTCTTCTTTTATATCCATTGTTTCTACACTTGTAGACTTGTAGTTATTGATCAAATCCCATGTCCAAAGATTCAATGATTTAAGCCCACAGTATCTACAATTTGTGCTAAAAAATATCTGTATATGTAGTGGAATGTTGTACCATTGCTAAGATTGATGACTAATTTGAATATTTATATCCAACAATTTCTCTCTTTTTTCTATGAGGAAGTTTGTATTCATAAATTTGAGGATAAAGATTGGTGGGAATCAAGAAACATGAATAGGGAAGCATCCAGTTTGATTTTGTTTCCATAAATTCTTTTAACTCTTTTCAACTATAATTTACACCCTCCACCCTCAAATAATCCTCCACCCCCACGCCAAGGGATAAAAGAGAAAAAAAAAACACCTTCGCACCCATCCACACACCAATACCTGCATGATCCGAAGAAAGGGGAAAAAGAAAAATAAAAAAGAAAAAGAAAAAAGAAAAAATAGCCACCATAACCCACCCCTCTACCTACATTCACACATTCTTGGCTACTCCCAATAAAGATTTTGTGGCAATTTCTATTCCATTCAAGTATGATTGTAAAGTATCCAAGTTAAAAATGAACTCTGTTCATTTTGATCAAATCTTAGAGAGTCTAAAGTACAAAATGATCATGAATTGTCTTCATATTCATCAATTGGCATATGATGAATGTCGTCTAGCAAGTTGCTTAAAGTTTAGAATGCTCCATATCCAAGAAACTTTGTTCTGTGGTTTTGAAATATCTAGATTGTGATCTGTGGTTTAGTGGTCAATTTATATGTTACAAACCATACATCTAAGAAGTGACATACTTCAAACTGTCCATTTGGTGCCACTTGATGTATTAGAAACGAAGATCATAAAAAGTTCATTTCTTCTAGGCATTCTAGACGATCCGCAACAAAATGAACGAAGTAAATTTCAGATTTAGATAGGGAAAGGTTTGGATCAAATTACTTTATGAAGTAGCCAAAAAGTCCTCACACTAGTTTTTTGCATTATTTGTTGGAACCTGATCTCTCTATCGGACTAATTTTTACATTTTCAGTTGAAATTTGACAGTGTCTAATATATCTGATTGCAGGTTGAATTTGACTCCGATGAGGAAGACCCAAATGAGACACTAAAATAGAAGCAACTTCAGCTTAATAATTGATCATAGTACTAGTGGAAGCACTTAGATTAATGGTGGAAAGGCGAATGGAAAGGACTCAATTGAACCTTTTATGGATTTTTCTGATGTTTATCTGAGCTGGTAAGTGAAGTTTTTTGAAGTTGGGTTATGAATGATTTTTGTTCGTTCTCCAAATGGAGAAAGCTTTTGCTTCTATGAATCGTCAGCTGGTAATCTCATCTTTTTTTTTATTTTGGGAAAAAGTGTATCACTCTTACTTAAACAAGTACAAATGCAGTTCTGTTCAAATGTGGATTGTGTTGTACTGAACTGAGTTCACTAATTGACCCTTTGAAGCATTTTCTTTTATGTTTCAGAGAAGTAAATCCCTTTTTGTTTCCTTTTCTGTTATGTCTTTAATATTTCATGAGTGGATGACTTGTAATCATGACAATCCTTGTTAGTCTGAAGAGACTTGCACATCTTAGTTCATCTTACGGTTAACAAAGGCCATGATATTAGAAACCACATTGTTTATCAAGTTTCTCACTCAAAAGTACAACATAACGAATCCTTCAGCCCAAATTTTTTTGTGTGGCCTACATCCATCTTCCGTTCAGTTTTGTTTAGGCATATCTTCCTTGTTAAGCTAACCAAGGACATATCCTTCTTAATTGCTTCCAATTAAGTTCTCTTAGGACTATCTCTAGTCTTTTAGCCATTAGTTATAATGATATCACCTCTCCTAGCTGGTGCACTTTGTGACCTTTCTTGCGCGTGATGAAACCATCTGGGTTGATTCTCTCATTTTATTCCGGATAAGTGCAACCTCCAACCTCCATTGAATGCATTCATTTCTTCCTATCTCTTAGTGTATATGTTGTGATGTTGTCATTTCTGCCATTCTCTCTTATAAGATTGTTCACTCAAAATTGCCTTTTTTTTGCAGTCAATGAAACTATACCAGACACCTTGCCCGCACCCATCTGATGAAACTATTACCAGACACCTGAAGAGCACATTTCTGAGGAAAAACTCACTTTTCTCGATATGTGACTATCAACAGATACAATAGAGGTGGATATTTGAATTTCTATGTGAATTACAACAGTTCATTATTATCCTGGTGTGTGTATAAGTTACATACTGAATTTGCAGAATCTGGAACTACGTTAGTTCTATGTTTAGGCTGTGTTTGGGAACTGGGATTTGGGCCCTGGATTTAAAATTCAAGGTGTTTGAAATCCAAATATCTAGTTTGTGCTCTAATTTGGGCTAAGATTTCAAATCAATTCATTAACAGTCAATTCATTAACAGAGAGGAATTTGAAAGCCCAAAACAACGGATTTCAAATTCCACCCTACCCCTTGTTATTTATCAAATCCCGACCCGACTATCCTTTCCTCTCTCTCTCTCTCTCGTTTCAAGTCCTGTTTCTCTCCCGATCGTTCTTCTCTCTTGATCGCTTGCAGGTAAAATATATATATCTCCCCCTCCCCCTCCCCCTCCCCCCCCTCTTCCCCTACAGTTGAAACCCTAGATATGATCTAGGGCATAGATCACGATCTTCGTGGCAAAACCCTAGATCAGAGCTAGTACTCTCGATGTGATCTCCACTGATGGTGGTTCATGTAATCTGAACATTATTTTAACCAATTGTTTCTGATTTTTTGATGATTTTATTATGAACATGCATTAGGGTTTGATGATTTTGATGGAGGGAATTGTTTCTGATATTTTGATGTTTTTATTATGAACATGCATTAAAATTCATGGTCCTTACAGAGGGTGTTGTGGATGAAAGCCAGGGAGAGGGACTGACCCAAGACTGCTTGGGGGATTCTTAATCTTGGCTTTGTCAAGTGAAGGATTAGGATTATAATTATGATTATCATAGTATTTTGATGATATGATTATGGTATTTTTGAATAAATTATTGAAGTCGATAAATATGAGTTAGAGGTTTGTGTAAATTTGAGATTGCTAATGTTTTGGTTCTTAGTGTTGATTATGAGGATGCTAGCTATTACATTTTCATGGTTTGGGTGTCAACTACCATGAATATGCGAGATGAGAGAGAGAGAGAGAGTATATATATATCATATATATTATATTACTATATATATTATATATATATATATTATATATATATTATATATATATATATAATATATATAATATTATATATATTATATATGGCGTGTGTGTGCGCGCCGCGGGCGCGGCCTTGCGTTGCTTTGTGGCGGCAGGGGGCGCGGGCATGCAGTGTGTGTGTGTTTTTTCATATATATATATATATATATATATATATATATCTATTACTTATAAGATGGTGATCTCTCTCTTTCTCCCTTCCTGGAAGGATATCACAACAATATATATAGTGATATATATTATATATATATATATATTTATATATATGAAAGCACACACACCGCTATTGCGCGCCCCAGCGCGACACACACGCATGCCGCGCCGCGCGCGCGCACACACACGCATATATGGGCCCCCCTTTTTTTTTTTTTTTTTTTTTTTTTTTGTTTTTTTTCCCAAAATTTTTTTAATTTTTTTTTTTTTTTTTTTTTTTTTTTTTTTTTTTTTTTTTTTTTTTTTTTTTTTTTTTTTTTTTTTTTTTTTTTTAATATAATATATATATAGTATATATATATATATATATATATATATAAGTATTATATTATAATATATTATATATATATATATATTATATATATATATATTATAATACTCTTCTCTCTCTCTTCTCCATATTCATTAGGTTGACACCCAACCATGAAAATGTAATTAGCTAGCATGCCTCATAATCAAACATAAGAACAAAACAATTTAGCAATCTCAAATATTACAAACTCTACTCATTATTTATTCGACTTCATATAATTTATTCAAATACCATAATCATATCATCAAAATACTATGATAATAACTAATTAAATCCTAATCTTCACTTGACAAAGCAAGATTAAGAATCCCCATAGCAGTCTTGGGCAGTCCTTTCCTTGACCTTTATGCACAACACCTCCCCATAGCACCACCCCTCCCAAATCACCGCTTATCCCACATGACCCTCAACCCTCCTCAGCTCCAACCTACCCTCAACCCCCCCCCCCCACCCCCCCCCCCCACAAACCCCCGCCCCCCCCCCCCCACCCACCCCCCCCACTCACCCATATCATCCCCAAACAAACCTTGAGCCAGCAGCAGTGCGGACCTCCCCTATGCTATAGTTTTTTTTCGATACACCCTCACAATTCCCCACCCCCACCCCCACCCTCCTCCCTACTCAAATTAGCTAATTGCATGTTATAATAAAAACATCAAACATATCAGAGAACAATTACTCATCAAAATCATCAAACCTAAATGCATGTCATAAATAAAATCATCAAAAAATCAGAAAGCAATTGTTAAATAATGTTCAGCATTACATGAGACCACATCACGTGAGAGATCAATCATCGAGAGTACTAGATCTGATCTAGCGCGTTTGCCGATAGATTCGTATCTATTGCTAGATCATATCTCGGGTTTCAACTGTAGGGCGAAGAGGGGGGGAGGGGGAGGGGGAGGGGAGTTATATATATTTTTACCTGCAAAGCCAGATCAAGCAGGAAAACGATCGCGGAGAGAAACAGCGACTTGAAACGAGAGATGGAGAGAGAGCGGAAAGGATAGTCGGGTCGCGGATTGATAAATAACAAGGGGGTAGGGTGGAATTTGAAAATCCGTTGTTTTGGGCTTTCACCAATTACTCTCTGTTAATGAATTGACTGTTAATGAAGAGAAACTCTTAGGCCCAAATATAGAGCACAATGAGATATTTGGATTTCAAAAACTTGGGAATTTTAAATCCAGCGGCCAAATCCCAGTTCCAAACAAGACCTAAACAATAGAACTAAGTAGTTCCGATTCTGCAATTCAGTATGTAACTTATACAACACACCACGGATAAATAATGCTGTTGTAATTACATAAGAAATTCAAATATCCACCTCTATTGTATCTGTTGATATCAGATCGGAAAAGTGAGTTTTTCCTCAGAAATGTGCCTCTTAAGGTGTCTGGTAATAGTTTCATCAGATGGGTGCGGGCAAGGTGTCTGGTATAGTTTTCATTGACTGCAAAACAAAGGCAATTTTGAAGTGAACAAATCTTATAAGAGAGAATGGCAGAAATGACAACAATCACAAACATATACACTAAGAGATAGGAGAAATGAATGCATTCAAATGGGGTTGGAGAGTTCACTTAGCCGATAAATATGAAGAATCACCCAGATGGTTTATCACGCGCAAGAAAGGTCACAAAGTGCACAGCTAGGAGAGGTTGATATAATTATAACTGAATGGGCTTAAAGACTTAGAGATAGTCCTATGAGAAACTTAATTTTGGAAGCAATAAGAAGCATATGTCCTGGTTAGCTTAACAAGGAATATGCTAAACAAAACTGAACGGAAGATGGATGTAGCACACAAAAAATTTGGGTGAAGGATTCGTATATGTTGTACTTTTGAGTGATGAAACTTGATAACAATGTGGTTTCTATATCATGGCCTTTGTTAACGTAAGATGAACTAAGATGTGCAAGTCTCTTCAGACTACAAGGATTGTCATGGATTACAAGTCATTCCACTCATGAAATATTAAAGAATAAACAGAAAAGGAAACAAAAGGATTTACTTCTTCTGAAATAAAAAGAAAATGCTTCCAAAGGGTCATTAGTGAACTCCAGTTCAGATACAAACACAATCACATTTGAACGAACGCATTGTACTTGTTTAAGTAAGAGTGATACACTTTTTCAAAAATTAAAAAAGATGAAGATTACCAGGCTGACGATCAAGAAAGCAAAAGTTTCTCCATTTGGAGAACGAACAAAATCATTCAAACAACTTCCAAAAAACTTCACTTACCAGTCAGATAAACATCAGAAAATCCATAAAGGTTCAATTGAGTCTTTCCATTCGCTTTCACCATTAATCTAAGTGTTCCATAGTACTAATGATCAGTTATTAACTGAAGTTGCTTCGATTTTAGTTGTTCATTTGGGTCTTCCTCATCGGAGTCAAAATCAACCTGCAATCTAGATATATTAGACACTGCTCAAATTCTCAACTGAAAATGTAAAAATTAGTCGATAGAAGAGATCAAGGTCCAACAATAATTGCAAAAAACTAGGTTGAGCGACTTTTTGGCTACTTCATAAAGCTAATTTGATCCAACCTTTCCCTATCTAAATCTGAAATTGTACTTCGTTCATTTTGTTGCGGATCGTTCTAGAATGCCGTAGAAGAAATGAATTTTTATGATCTTCGGTTTCTAATACATCAAGTGGACCAAATGGACAGTATTGAAGTTATGTCACTTCTGGAGAATGTTATG